GTATTGACTTAGTAATTTTATATTGCGTAATTCCGAGGGGAAAATATCCGTATGCGATAATGTGTTTCAGTTTGGATGGGTCGTGACAATTTTAAAAAGTTATGAAATTTTTATGGCAAGTTTTCTTTTCGGCTCTACTGGTTTCGACCCAAAATTGGTTGCCGCCATGTAAATGATTTCCAATTTTTTGAACGCTGTTTGTGAATTTCGTCTGATACAAACATGAAGTTTTTGTAGCTGCGATTTACTTTCAACTGTTATTCTTCTCTTATTTTTTCACGTATTTTTTTCCAACTTAATTTTTCATTTTTTTTTACTTGTTTTTTTTTTCATTTACTATCATGTGGCGCAATGTGTTTTTTGGCATTTCGAGTTATGCGAAGCTTGGATTCGCCTCTGTGTCAAACAATTTCATCCAATTGAGCTTAATTTGTCCTTTCGTTAATTTAGATGCCACATAAGATTACATATGTTGCATATAATTATGAAGTCTGGCTTGTTACCATGCCAAGTTTTTGATGAATTTGAAAAGGGGAGTGAAATGTTTCATTTTCAAATGTTTTTTTTTAAATAATTCACTTGGAAAATTAAAGAGTTTTCAAATCTTGTGAAACGTCAAACATAAATGTTCCTTATGTATAATAGATAAATTTAAATGTGTATAATTGATAAAAAAAACATGAATCGGGCATGGAATTTCCAGTAAGACCCCGGTTTATTAATTCGATATTCAGCCTTTTTAAACCATGACAAGAGAGCATGTATACCGCGTAAGCAATTCCAAGTGAAGTAGGTTTGCGTATACGTTGCCATCGACCACATTTGCAATCAATCAGCGTTGATCGCAAACGTGGATCAACGCGCGTTTATTTTTGCGATCAACCAGCGTTATCAAATCGGAGCTTAACCTTTTTCAGCCATAGAGTTTTTCCATTTTTTTTCGTTTTTTTTTAGAGTTTGTAAACTTTTCATGTTGTATTGACTTAGTTATTTTATATTGCGTAATTCCGAGAGGAAAATATCCGTATGCGATAATTTGTTTCAGTTTGGATGGGTCGTGACAATTTTAAAAAGTTATGAAATTTTTATGGCAAGTTTTCTTTTCGGTTCAACTGGTTTCGACCCAAAATTGGTTGCCGCCGTGTAAATGATTTCCAATTATTTGAACGCTGTTTGTGTGTTTCGTCTGGTACAAACATGAAGTTTTTGTAGCTGTAATTTTTTTTCAACTGTTATTCTTTTATTTTTTCAAGTATTTTTTTCCAACTTAATTTTTCAGAAAATTTTTTTGATTTGTTTTTTTTTTCATTTACTATCTTGTAGCGCAATGTGTTTTTTGGCATTTCGAGTTTTGCGAAGCTTGGTTTCTCCTCTGTGTCTTACAATTTCATCCAATTGAGCTTAATATGTCCTTTCGTTAATTAAGATGTGACATAAGATTACATATGTTGCAAATAATTATGAAGTCTGGCTTGTTACCATGCCAAATTTTTGATGAATTTGAAAAGGGGACTGTGAAATGTTTCATTTTCAAATGTTTTTTGAAAATAATTCACTTGGAAAATTAAAGAGTTTTCAAATCTTGTGAAACGTCAAACATAAATGTTCCTTGTGTATAATAGATAAATTTAAATGTGTATAATTGATAAAAAAAAACATGAATCGGGCATGGAATTTCCAGTAAGACCCCGGTTTATTAATTCGATATTCAGCCTTTTTAAACCATGACAAGAGAGCATGTATACCGCGTAAGCAGTTCCAAGTGAAGTAGGTTTGCGTATACGTTGCCATCGACCACATTTGCGATCAATCAGCGTTGATCGCAAACGTGGATCAACGCGCGTTTATTTTTGCGATCAACCAGCGTTATCAAATCGGAGCTTAACCTTTTTCAGCCATAGACTTGTCTTACAGAATCACTGAATCATCTCGTTTACTGTTTTTGTCAACCAAAAGACATAATTCGAGCAGGTTTGCATTTTAAGTTATTTATTTTTCGAAATTTGTTTTTCTGTAGGTTGAAATTTTGTCAACTCTATTTTCATGTATTTCAATTTTTTTCTTTGAAGTTTCATTCGCCTGAAAAAGTTTCTGTCGATTGAAATATTTTGTGCTTAATTTTTCCAGCATATATTTTTTGACTGAACAAGCGTCTGCAACAGCTTCATCAACTTAATTACCTCTTCCCTAATCTGATTACCATGCTTATTCGACACTAAAGGTGGTGTTTCTTGACACTTGAGCTTCAAAAGAAAATTTTTCGAGACAAATGTATGAAATTATTGGTAAACCTAGTGTTTGATTTTTTTCCTCAAAAAATTGATTAAGTTAATTGATCAAGTGGTTCTTCACTTGAAATTGATTATTGATTTTTCTATTATTTGGTTATGATGAAAGTTATTTACTTAATTGGTTAAGTGGTTCTCCTTCATTTTTTGTCGGCTAGCTTGTCAAACCTTGCTTGTGATTTATCGGCATCCACGTTGATCCGACCACTGAGAGTGGGGATGAACTATGTATTCAGGTGTGTTTAAGTTTTTCTTTTTGTTTTCCACCAAAAATCAGGGGAGCTTATACAATTGTCGGTAAGGGTCGAGTGGTATATCTTATCAAAGCCCTTTCAGTCGTTATTCGAACATCATTTTAAAAAATGTTCTGAAAAATTCTTCAGTGTAGAGAACAAGAGTTTAAAAGTTTCTGATTTTTGGTCTAATTTCGAGCGAATAAAGCGAGCGGGAGCAGGCTTAACATAGGGAAATGAGACGTAAAAACTTAGTTTTACTCCAGGAATATTAACCCTTGAAGTTATTTCGATAGCAAAAAAATCTTAAAACCAAAGAAATTGTTACAAACTGTTATTGCTTTTTGTATTTTTGTTTGGTTGGTTGCATTAATTTTTCATGCCCTCATCTTTCGAGTTTTATGCAACGTTAACACTTATTTCTAGGAAATTTGTTTGAAAATCCTGATGTATCTCCGGGTTATCGACCTTGATAACAATCTGAAGCGTGAAAAGTCAGAGCCAGATCAGTATACACCAAAGTGTAAAAAATCTTTTTGTGGAGTAGTTTTTGGAAATAATTATGGGCAATGAAAAATAAATTAATAATTAAAACATCCTAAAATTTTTCTCAAAATTGCTATCGGTTACTCGCTCCTACTTTTTACAGTGAAATCAAGTTAAGCCTAGCCTGTCCTTCCGTTAATTAAAATGCTAGAGATGTTGAGATAATTAACGTATCTTTTTTTATTTGCCCGAGTGAAAAATTTAGAAAAAAATTTGAAAATAAAAAGCTTCAAATAACCGATTTCAAAGTCACCAAAAACTTGGTATGGTAACCGGCAACAATGTTTTTTTATTAATTATACATGAAAAGGCGTCAGAATTTATATGAAACATCTGTAATGTTACCGGTGTTGCATATATGTTGTGAAGCTCTTTCATGTATAATTTATTTTAAAAAAACATTGTTACCGGTTATCATACCAATTTTTTTTGACTTTGACGTCGGTAATTTGAATTTTTTAAATTTCAGTTGTTTTCTAATTATTTCTCATACCATGCAAAGCTTCAAATAGAAAACAAATATTCCTTTTGTAAAATAGATAAACTTGAGTGTTTGGAATGGATAAAACGTATAAACCGGGAACCTAGCTTTGAGGTGTGGGTTACCAGTAGGACACGGTTTTATTTTGGAAACGTTAATTCTGTTTTTGTTCTCTTCAAATGGTAAATCGCCTGAAACCTCTTCCTAAATTTGCTCATTTGACGGAAGTGTTTGTCTTGCTTCAAATTTTATCTTCAAAAAAAGATCATTTGAGACAAATGTATGGAATTTTTGGTAGATATATTTTTCTACACATCTTTTATTGATTCAGTGGCTTTCGCTTTTTTTTGGCTAGCTTGCCAAATTTTGATTATGATGTAACTGAATCCTCGTTGGTCCTACTACTGGGAGACTAATTGTGGGGAGGAACTTCGTATTCAAGGTGTGCTTTTTCTTGTTTTCCTCGAAAAACAGGGGAGAACCTAAAATCGTCGGATAGTCCAGTGATATATCATATCATAGAGCTTGCAGTCGTAATTAGAACGCCACATAACAATTTTCTTAAGAAGTTATCAGTGTAGAGAAAGAGTTTGAAATTTTTTGATTTTTGGTCTAGTTTCGAGCGATAAAGGAGCGTGCAGGCCTAGCAAACGGAAATAGGACGAAAAAACTTTGGTTTTACTCTAGGAATATTGGTTTTTGAAGCTTTTTTAAGCGCTTTTTTGACAACTAAAAATCCTATTAAAACCAAAAAAAAGATCGGCAAAAAGTGTCATGGCTTTTTTTGTTTTGATTCAGTATGTTATAAATTATGTGTATTGTACTCTTACTATAGAGTTAACATGTTTTCTAGGCTTTCATTCAGATCAGCTCCTTGCCGAATGAACTAAAATTTTTAAAACTTGAAATTTGAACAAAATTTTGTTTTTTGATTTTTTAGCAGTCGGAATTTTCTGTACTACTTGCACAGCAAGGGGCTATCCTTGGTTATATTTGTATTTTAATTTTACGTATCTTGAATTTTCTTACGATTTAATTTGATACGACTCATTGAGCTACAGGATAAACTAGCTAGTTGCAGAAAAGCTGGTTTCGTTGTTAACTCTTTCAATGTATGACATGTGGTTTTGGTGTTTTCTTGTGTTTTTTTTGTTGATTTCATCATTAAATTCTGTCTATGCTTGTAGTTTGACAATTGATTACCCTGCTGATTTTAAAGGCAGTAAAGGTAGATGAACAAATACAAATAGCAGAAAAAGACAATAAATTTCAGGTAACTTAACTGAATTTCTTGATAATTGTAGTGCTTTACGGTTATTTAATTAGTTATAGAAATCAAGATTAAATAGATTCTGTTTTTTTTTATGTTTCCTTGAGCTCCTTAGCAGTTTTCCAGCTGTCTGATGGGTATGTTGGATGGCAATAGCATGTTGATTCTTTTTTTCCAGATCGTTTCGTGTATGAGTTTGGCATGTCAGTGTTTGCTGCGAGGTCATCGTTTGTATGGTAATCCCCTGTCGCGTGTCATTCAGCGGAGGAAAATCAGTCTGTCCAGACACCTGTTGCAAATCGACTACTACAATGTGCTGGGTGTGAACAGAAGTTCATCTGAGAAAGATATCAAAAAGGAAGGGGATCTCTTTAAATATTCTACCCTATTTCAAAAGGGAGCATTCCATTCTAGATACCAAATTCGCATATGCTGAACCGTTGAATTAGTCCTTTGTAGGGTTTGATCATTTTGAGTAGGCACCATAGGGGGGATATTTAAAGAGGTTCCCAAAAGGCGTACTACGACCTGGCCAAAAAGTACCATCCAGATGTGAACAAATCTGCAGACGCTGCAAAAAAATTCTCACAGGTCAGTTGAAGTCTCCGGGTGTTTGCTATATACGCGCCACAAGTACCACTTCGCCTCTGCGTTGACGCTTGTTTCGAGTGAATTTATGTGTTACCGAATGTATTTGGCGTGAGTTGGGTTAAACGAATTCACAAATGCCACTAAAACTTCAGATTTTCAGACGCTAAAAAGATTTTAATTCTTTTTTTTTTCATTCGTGTTGAAGCTTGTAACAATTTTAGTGAATATTATTCTACAGTTTGATGTCCCTACGGTCAACAAGAATTAATGCTTTTTTTAAAATCCTAAAACGACAAAATATTACTGAAATTGTCAATGGTAGAAAAAGTTTCAAAATTTTGACTTTTTTTAGACCGATAAAATTTATTTCCCGAGCTCCCCCAAAATACTAAAAAGTCCGTTTTGGCCTAAAATTTTCGCCCCTCAGGCAAAATTTTGAAAAACAGGTCAAAAAAAGTTATTAGGTTTTTTTTGGAAAATTTTACCAAAAAATTGCGTTTTTTCGGCGCGCGCTCATACCTTAAAATTAGTATATATATATATTGGCGCCAAAGGTGCTATTAAAAAATTGTTATGGTTCGTTAGCTAAAAATGGATATCTCAAAATAGTTGAGAAGGGGACCTTTTGGGTCGGCAGGGGGTCGAATCCCTGGGGGGGGTCCGCTCTCCCCCCTATTCACTGTTTCTCTTATGCTCCTATTTTCCTATTTTTTTGTGAACCTGTATTTTTTTGCGAAATTGTTTCTGGTAAGAAATTATCTGACTATCGTGTGTCCCCTTTATCCGCATAGTTCATGCAGCAAGTTAATTTCTGGAAAACTCATCCCTTTTTACCGCTTTGGTTTTTGCGGTTTCTTTCATTCCTAATGGTGTAGGAAACTGTACTTTAAAATCTTTGCAATATCCAAGTTTGTTTTAGTTTTTTTTTGCTGTAAAGGTTTTTTGGGCTTGGATGTGTTCGTTTTTTTTCTGCTATATTGCCTTAGTAGCATCGTGTTGCCTCGTTTCAAGCGTGTAATTAGGGATTCAAATAAAAGAATTATGTGTTGATAGATAAAATAATGTAATTTACGCATTTCGCTCTCTTTATTGCAACTTCACTGATTTTTTAAAAATCCGAATCAAGGCCAATGTGTCTTTAATATGATGCCACATTTCACCCCCTGTGCGCCTAATCTCCGTAAATCAAAAATATGAAGTCGAATATTTGAATTTAACGAGAGAATTTATCGGCAAATTTCTCGTCCTTTCGGTCGGGTATAACTTCAATAACTTCAATAATATTCGTCACCAATTCACAGCTTTAATAACAAATTGGCGCAAGCTAGCCACAAGAACCGGTCGGTAATGTCCTTGAGACAAATTGCTCTTTTTTAGCGGTCAGCCTTAGTCAAGGCTGAACCGAATTAGAATAAAAAACAGTTAAAATAGGATATAACCCCTTTTTCAGTATATTAATACATGGGCAGGTGGGGGACTCGAACCTACGTCAACTGTTATGTTACGTTACTTTGTCTTAGTCCGCTTGGCCAACTGTGCCTATGGCTGTTACATTTTGGTTCAATTTTATGCCTTTATACTCTCGCACATTTGCGTTTATATTTGCGCTGCAACATCCTCCACCCCTAAACAAGGAAGAACGGGAGCGAGCTTTACGGTCGGACGGGTCAGTTCGCTCGTAACGGTCTTTATGTCGGCGGATCTCGCGCATCCGTCCTTGCCATAGTGCAGTTTTAGGATACGTGCGAGTGGATAATGTCCACGTGGAGTGTCAGGCTCTATGACCCAAACCAAGTCGCCGGCTTTCAACTTAACTTCTGACTGGTTGTGCCACTTTGCCCTCCTATTGAGGGAAGGAACGAATTCCTGCATCCACCGTGTCCATATTGCGTTAGCGTATGATTGCGCTCTGGCGAAACGCTTCTTATGGTCGAAGTTTTCTTCGAAACTTAGCGGCGGAAAACTCGCTGCGTGTTGACCAAGGATAAAATGATTCGGGGTCAACGCCTCTAGATCTAGCGGATCGGAACTAACGGCTGTTATCGGTCTAGCGTTGAGTGATTGCTCAACAAGGCACAGCGTGGTTCTTAGCACCTCCTCAGTTACTCTTCTGTTGCCTAAGATGTCATACAAAACGCGCTTGACACTCCGAACTAATCGCTCCCAGGAGCCACCATGGTGCGGTGCGCTGGGTGGATTGAATTTCCACTTGATCCCTTTTTGAACAAAAACAGCGGGTGCGAGCTTGTTCCAACTCTCAATGCAAGCTAAGAGCTCTTTCTGAGCGCCAACAAAGTTCGTTCCGTTGTCGGACATGATGGTAGTCGGAGTACCGCGACGTGCAATAAACCTCTCTACGCCCATCACACAAGAGCTTGTGTCGAGCGAGGGGACCACTTCAACATGCACCGCTCTAGTGGTGAGACAGGTGAACAAAAAACCCCACCTCTTTTCCGTACTTCTCCGGATTGGAACTAGGAACGGTCCAAAGTAGTCGACACCTGTGTTAGTGAAAGGAGGTTGCTTGTAACCCAGCCTTTCAATGGGCAGATCAGCCATAATATGAGTTACTGTTTGCGCTTTGCGTTTTCGGCAAGCAACGCAAGTATTTTCAATGTTTCGCAGCAACCATCGCAAATTAACACTACGTACTTCAAGTTAACCACCGCACGCATGTAATCCAAGCCTTGATGGAAATTCCTAACGTGCAAGAACTGAACCAATAACCGAACAACCGCATGACGTGCATCAAGTATAATCGGATGCTTGCTATCGAAATCGGAATAAACCAAGCGGCTGATGCGCCCAGTCGAGCGAAGGATGCCAGCTGGTCCAATGAACGGCGAATACTTGGCGATCCGACTATTCCTCGTGATAACTTTACCGGATCTTAGTAGTTTTAGCTCACTAGGGAATGTCTCACCCTGGGACAGGTAAATGAGCTTCTGTTCAGCAATATCCATTTCAGACGGGTCTTTAATTTCTAATATACTCGACCGGAAATGTTTATGGGATGGCAACTATCTTAACAAAAATGCTACTGCGCGTTTGTATTTTACAATTGAATTGAATCTCTCCCATTTTCCGAAGGGAAGATTTTTTTCTGTCAAAACATCGACGACGAATATTGACGAGTTTTCCAGACAAATGTCGATATCACATGATGGTCCTTTGAGTCTTATTTTATCAATAACCCTTGTATCGGGCTTGAACGGCCTATCAGTTGTTCTCAATATACTAGGGCCATTAACCCAGCTGCTTTTCTTGAGGGCTTCCGAAGAAATCCCTCGTGTACCGGTATCAGCTGGGTTATCACCGCTAAGTATGTGATGCCACTGATCAGTGGTGTAGACTCCAGAATCTCACCAGTGCGATTACCAACAAAAACGGGTAGTTTACTACAAGAGTGAAGCCACTGGAGAACAGTGGTACTATCTGTCCACATGAAAATATCCGTAACTTTGAAAGTGAGACCTTTCAAAATTTCTTCTTTTAAGCGGGTTGCAAAAAGAGCCGCTTGAAGCTCTAACTTTGGAATAGAAAGCGCTTTTATAGGCGCGACGCGGGCTTTGCCAAACACAAAGGCTAATTCGGTCTGATGGGAGCTAACAAGTCGCGCACGAAGGAAAGCGACGGCACAGAAAACATCCTGCGAACTATCACCGAACATGTGAAGTTCTATTCGGTCGAAAGGTTCAGTGAAATAGCTGCGAGGTATTGTCAGAGAACCTAACAAATGAAGACCTGAGTGCCACTCAAGGAATTGCTTTTTGATTTCCTCTGGCAGATCATCGTCCCATTTTTGACCGCTGATTCGCCAGATATCTTTTAATAGAAGGCGAGCCTTCACGGTATACGGAGCCACTAACCCAATTGGATCAAAAACAGAGGAAACAAAACTCAACACGGTACGCTGAGTGATTGCTTTGTCTAGTGGACGATCAACCCCTCTAATAACGACTAAGGTATCTTTTACGTGATCCCACTTGAGACCGAGAACATGCGACGACTGGTCTGGACTCGCACAAATATCTTTAACAGAGAAATTGGACTCACGGTTGTCCGGATCAAGAGCGGTTGTTACGTCGGGCACGTTGCTGACAAATTTTGTCAGACAAAACCCACCTGGTTTAAGCAATGAGATTAAATCCCTACCTATTTTCAAGGCGTCATCCCTGTTTTGAAAAGAATCCAGATAATCATCCATATAAAATTTCTGGACAACAGCCGAAGCAGCTTCGGGGTACTCAGCTTGATTATCCGATGCAGTCTTCTGCAAAGCAAAATTCGCACAAGTCGGCGAGTCACGAGCACCAAAAATGTGACGCGTATATTGGTGAACTACCACACTTGATGCGGGGTCCTCCCGCCACAAAAAACGAAGAGAAGGTTGATCTTCTTCACGGACTCCAACCTGTAAAAACATCGCTTCAATGTCAGCTGAAACGGCGTATTTATGCTGACGGAATCTTAAAAGTACAAATATGAGGTTTTGAAGGAGATCCGGGCTAACCAACAGAGATTTGTTTAAGGAAGCGCCATGACACTTCGATGCCCCATTGAGGACTCGGCGCACCTTACCGGGTTTATTCGGGTTCAACACCGGGTGATGCGGGAGATACCACTCACGATCGGCTCGTGATTTGGGATCGTGTGCCTTAACGGTTATGACATATCCTTTTTGTATATCTTCTCTAATTGTTTCGGCGTATTTTTCACGGAGCGACGGATCCTTATCTAGCCTCTTTTCCAAAGACTTTAATTGAGCTAAGGAGGAAAAATAGTTATTCGGTAAAGTACTTTCCTTATCGTTCCAAAGCATTGGTACAATGTACCTCTCACCATCGTGAAAGGTGTCATTTTTCAAAACGGACAAAGCGCGTTTGTCGGTGGCGGAACGGGCATCTACCTGCTTGAAGGCTCCATATGACTCCAACTCATACCAAGTTTTAATTTGGTCCGCAAGAGACATGTCTTCGACAACACACTCAAAGCAAGAC